CATGCACAGATGTTACCCGTGATATCCAGCAATGGTTCCAGCAATTGGATCAAATAAATGAAAGATGGGGTCTGCACACTGAACGCGTTTCACAGGTCAGCGCCTGCTTCGTTCAGGAAACACAAGAATTTTCTCCATATCTAGAGTAACAGCAACGTGTACATATTAAAACCAAGACGGGGAAAACACCATCATGGATGGACAGATCCAGAGGTTGAACCTTGAACCAAGATGGTTATAAATTTTAAAAAAACCGTTTGATTTGAATTGGTTTAATAACATTTTATTGTGGTGCCATTAAAGTTCTAACAGTTTTGCTTGGAGGTATTCTATTACAATGTTTATGAAAAATTTAATTTAAAAACTGTCGTTGTATGAAAGAATGTCTGTTTTCAATGATTTTATAGGTTTCCTTTTGAATAAAATGTAATAATTTTAACTCTTTAAGCATGACTTCAAGCATTTCCCTTTTCTATTTGCACTGTATTTTGGGACCGAGCCACGCTTTGTCCACACATACTCGCCAAGAACTTGTTATATGGGGTTTCAGGGGTCCACGGTGTGTCTGTGCATGTGCAAGGGGACAAGTGAATGCGCAGACATGCTGCAGAGATATGCTGCATGCCGCAGACCTGGCAAAGATTCATGCAGCATGTCTGCGCATTCATCTTTGCCAGGTCTGCGGGATGCAGCAGATCTCTGCAGCATGTCTGCGCATTCACTTGTCCCCTTGCACATGCACAGACACACTGTGGACCCCTGACACCCCATATAAAAAGTTATTGGCGGGTATGTGTTGACAAACCGTTACTCAGTCCCAAAATACAATGCAAATAGAAAAGAGAATTGCCCAAGGGACTTTACCGAGTCAAAAAAAAGAGTTAAAATTACTACATTTTATTCAAAAGGAAACATAAAATCATTGAAAACAGCCATAGATCATGCTCAACAAACACAATACAGGCGTATCTCATTTTACAAACGCCTGAGTTAACATAATATTCGGTTTACGAATGAAAATCCATTGAAAATAATGGCTCGGTTTACGAATTTTTTTTGCAAATTTTTTTTTTAATCATGTCCCTGTACAGTATTTATGCCTTTAAAGTGCACTTTATAAAGAGTTTTGAACAGATAAAATACTTTTTTAAAAAAACTTTTTTCTGACCTCCGGAACGGATTAATTGGTTTTCAATGCATTTACGATTTTTTTATAATCATGTCCCTGCACAGCAGTGGTTCTCAACCTTCCTAATGCCGCGACCCTTTAATACAGTTCCTCATGTTGCGGTGACCCCCCAACCATAAAATTATTTACCCAGTAATTATAATTTATGAAGTATCGTTTTACCTTCAGTACTGCTGCTTTCAACACAGTAGCTGCTTTCAACACAGTAGCTGCTTTCAACACAGTAGCTGCTCTTTACACATCGGAAATATGTGTTTTCCGATAGTCTTAGGTGACCCCTGTGAAAGGGTCTTTCGACCCCCAAAGGGGTCGCGACCCACAGGTTGAGAACCACTGCTGTACAGTATTTATGCCTTTAAAGTGCACTTTATAAAGAGTTTGAACAGATAAAAGACTTTTTTTTTTTTCTTTTTTGACCTCCGTAACAGATTAATTGGTTTTCAATACACTTACGAATTCATTCCTAGGTTCACATATGTGCAGCCACACCACCCGCACAGAGAAATGCGGACCCGCGGACGGGTGCCATTAGTTTTAGTGGCACGCCGCCCGCACTGGAAAAAGCAATCGTACTGAGAACCGAGGTTGTGGGCTGCGTTTTCCAAAGAAGTGTAGGGACTTCTTTCTCTGCGTGTCACCGGCACGGGAGTCCATTCAAATGAATGAGCTCTCGTGCCTGTGCAAAACGTGGCCCGCACGGCCGCATAAATGTGAACCGGGGGTTAATCATGTCCCTGTACAGTATTTATGCCTTTAAAGTGCACTTCATAAAGAGTTTTGAATGGATAAAATACTTTATTTTTACTTTTTTCTGACCTATGGAACAGATTAATTGGTTTTCAATGCATCTTTATGGGAAACCGCGTTTCGGTTTACAAATTTTTCGCAATACAAAAAGTCCCGCAGAACAAATTATATTTGTAAACCGAGGTATGCCTGTACTTCAAATAGAAAAGACAAGTTCAGATGAAAAAACATTCAACGTGATCACCACATTAATCAAGATCTTGTACCAGTCCTGACCAGGGGCAGACTGACCATTTGGAAACTCGGGCACTGCCCGAGGGCCCGGGGTCAGTAGGGGGCCCCATGAGATGCCCCTGGTACCTTTTTCATAGGCTTTTTTGAGTTTTGGCAAGGACACAGGGGCCCCATGATCCCCTATTGCCTGGGGGCCCCATGAGTTGTCAGTCCGCCCCTGGTCCTGACATGTTCCATGAAGAAACGTTCACTGGTGGACATCTTTCCAGTCTATCGGATTATGATTTTTCAGTTCGATTGTCAAGTGTCACCACCCTCGGCTTTCCCTGCATGGGCGTCCTAGACCTCCCTACAGCTCCTGGTTTGGACTAGTACTGCAGTGGGTGCTTTCCTGTTGCACGGTTATTTTCCGATTTTGTGTTTCACCATTAGTATTGGCGATATATACACTGCACCCATGACTGTTTAGGTCTCCTGAAGAAGTGAACGCGGATTCACGAAACGCGTCTGTTTGGTACAAGATCTGGATTAATGTTAATGTGGTGGCAATCATGTTAAATGTTTTTTTCATCTGAACTTGTATTTTAGATTGGAAGTATTGTGTTTGTTGATCACAATCTAGATGTCTGTTTTCAATGATTTTAGGTTTCCTATTGAATAAAATGTAATAATTTTTAACGTTTGAACCACTTGCCCTCCAGAGGATTTCCCCCCCTTCCTGACCCCCCCTTCCTGACCAGGCCTTTTTTTGCAACATGGCGCTGCGTTACTTTAACCGACAATTGTGCGGTCATGCAATGCTGCACACAAATGAAATTTAGGACTTCTTTCCCCACAAATAGATTTTTCTTGCAGTGGTATTTGATCGCCTCTGCGTTTTTTTTTTTAATCTTATGTGCTATAAACAAAAAAAGATCAACAATTTTGAAAAAAAATATATATATTTTTTACTTTTTGCTATAATACATATCTAGTAATAAATAAAAAATCTAATTTTGTCATAAATTTAGGCCAAAATGTTATCTGTTAAAAAACAAAAATCCCAAATCGCTCAGATTAATTAGTTTATGTGAAAGTCATAGCATCTACAAATGGTATATATATACTGGAATTATTTATTTTTTATATCATTAATGGCTGCAATCAGCAATTTATCGCGGGACTGCGGTGGGCATTCTGACACTAGGGAGGAACTGCCACTGATATCCCCAGTGACACCAATACAGTGATCAGTGCTAAAAAAAAATCACTGGCACTGTACTGACACTGGGCAGGAAGGAGTTAATATCTGGGGCGATCAAAGGGTTAACTGTGTGCTGTACTAAAACTATGTGGCCTGTGTGTGTTTTACTATGTAAACACACTGCTTTGTATGGATGTGCTATGTAGAACAATACAAATTAGCATGCTGGAGCTGACAGGGGAGAGATCTGTGTTGTTTACATACAGACCTCTACCCTGTCAGTGTTCCTCGGCGATCGCTGGGTGCCGGCGGGGAATCTCTGACCGGGACCTGGTGATCAACAGCTGTAGACACCAACGGCGGCGCGTGCAGGCCCCCTACCTGGAAATGCAAAATCAAGCATATATGTGATTTTGCGCAGCCCTGCCGCCTTGTAGCAGTAGTTCTGCTATAGGGCGGTCGGGAAATGGTTAATCATGACCAGGGGCGGACTGACAACTCATGGGGCCCCCGGACAATAGGGGATCATGGGGCCACTAGAAGCTAAATAGTGTTCTCCTATGTGTCCATGCACACTACTTTACCCCCGGTTCACATCTATGCAGCCGTGCGGGCCATGTTTTGGGCAGGCATGAGAGCCCATTCATTTGAATGGACTCCCGTGCCCCAGGACACGCAAGGAAGAAGTGCCTGCACTTCTTGTGAAAATGCAGCCCACACGGGAACCTCGGTTTCCAGTACGGTTATGCTTTCCAGTGCGGGTGTCGTGCCATTAGAATTAATGGCACTGGCCCACGGGTCCGCATTTCTCTGTGTGGGTGGTGCAGCTACACGGATTTTTATGCGGATCCGCAGCGGCACCACCTGCACATATGTGAACGTAGCCTTAGGCTATTAGCAATTTTTGGGCTTCAGCATCTAAGAACAGAAAAAAAAATTGTTTATGTGGAGTTTTTTGGAGCGTTTTTCCAGCAGAAAAAAAAAAAAAAAAAAACAAAAAACTTTAAAACGCTACTAAAACACTCCTAGCGGCATTTTTTCTACATGTACTGTAAAAATGCTAATAAAACAATAATGCTCCTAAAAGCGCTATTAGCCCTGACATCCTATGCCGTAATCTGCCTCCTGGGCAGTGTCGTAGGCAGGGGCGGGCTGACAACTCATGGGGCCCCCGGGCAATAGGAAATCATGGGGCCCGTGTCCTCGCCCACACTCAAACCACACCCAAAAAAGCCTATGAAAAAGGTACTAGGGGCATCTCATGGGGCCCCCTACTGACCTGGGGACCTCGGGCAGTGCCCGAGTTCCTAAATGCTCAGTCCGCCCCTGGTCGTAGGAATCCCAGGAGCCAGTCTGCAGAACCAATGCGCATGAGCAGAAATCCCGCATTGGACTGACCCATGGCATTCCTGTGGCGCATGGGTACATCATTCTCACCTAGGAGAATGATGGACCTGAACTTTTGGAAATATTTTCTTTAAAGAAAAAAAAAATTCTTTTGATTCTGTTATGGGAGGGGGGAGGAAGCAGAGCAGAGCAAAAAAGGTCTGCTTTAGGGTTATTAAAAAATATGTAAATAAATTGTAAAATGACAAACATACATTCATCTCACAAGAAAAATATAAAAACTTGATAAGTAAACTTTACCTGCTGCTCTTTGTTTAATGCCAACGAAGCGCAGGAAACAGAGAACTGGACTATGAACACCAAGAAAAGAATGATCATGTACTGGAGACAAAATATTAAGGAGGTTTCACAAAGTTTGAGTAATAAGATAATATACAATTATATACTATAGGTGTTGGCATAGCATTCTTTTTTTTTTTTTTCTTGGTATGTTTCTGAGCCCCCTCTGATTTGTTACTAGATAATTCAACTCCTAGCTAGTCACTCCCAGCCTCACCTTGCGGCCAATTCATTTCTGTTTTATACATGTGCAGTAAGAACACTTTATTATTATTACTACTACTACTACAGGTACCTAAATAGCGCCATCAATGTACGCAGCACTTTACTTATATATTTTACATTCACATCAGTCCCTAACCCTCAAGAGGTGTACAATCTAAGGTCCCTAACTTCCAATCATACATACACATACTAGGGACAATATAGACAGGAGACAATTCACCTACCAGCATGTCTTTGGAGTGTGGGAGGATACCCACACAGGCACAGGAAGAACATGCAAACTCCAGGCAGGTGGTGCCACTTTACATATATATTGCACATTCACATCAGTCCCTAACCCTCAAGGGGCGTACAATCTAAGGTGCCTAACTCACATTCATACATACACATACTAGGGACAATTTCGACAGGATTCAGTTAACCTACCAGTATGTTTTTGGATTATGGGAGAAAACTAGATTGCCTGGAGGAAACCCACACAGGCACAGGGAGAACATGCAAACTCCAGGCAGGAGGTGCTGTGGTTTTTAATTAAATTAAAAAAAAAAAAAAGAAAAAAGAAAAAAAAAAAAAAAATAGCTAGGTCTTTAGGAAAGGAATGCCTTTTTTCCCCCTCACAGTAACTGTGCAGCCCACCCCTGTGTTTTCTTTCCCATCTGAATGGAGATAAAGATACATTGCATCTTGCAGAGGAGAAAGATGTAAACAAACAAGTGTGTAAAAGATAAATAATTAAATTAAAAAAAAAAAATATATATATAACAAAAAAGAAAAAAAAAAAAAATAATATATATAGCTAGGTCGTCAGGGTCAGTGTTAAAGCCAAGGTAAGAAGAGTCAAAAGGTCAGGGTCAGTATAATTTAGGTAGGATTTAAATAGGTAGGAATAAATACAAAAAATTTTATATATATATATATATATATATATATATATATATATATATATATATATATATATATATATATATATATATATATACATACACACACACACACACACACATATACACACACACATACATATATATAATTTTTTTTTTTTTAATTAGTATCTGTGTGTTTTAAGTATCAGTATATTAAAAAAAAAGTGCACCATTGTTTCTGGGCTCTGCTACAAGTACATACAACAAATAATGTACACTTATGCAGTTTTGCTGCAAATGTCAGGAGCAGAAGAATTTATTTTGGGCTGTTCTTTGGTGGTAGGTTATAGTAATAGCTTATAAATTTCCAGCTTAATTTTAAAAATAATTATGATTTCAGGTCAGTTTTCCTTTGATAAAAAAAATTAAATAAGAGATATCCCGTACAATTTACCATCAAATGAAAGCCCAATCTGTCCTGAGAAAATAAAAAAAAAAAAAAAAAAGTATAAAAATGTACCTGGATACACCAAGTAAAAACTGTACATATGATTGCAATTACTAACACATGTAAATGCAAATTCCAAAAATTGAGTTTTGGTGTTAAGGTTTGTTTTATCCTCGGGTTAATGTTTCAGGCTGACAACGCTAAGCGGCTTCCTTCCAATAGGAAGTAGCGTTGTCACCCTGCACTGCACACTGCTTCATTTAAAAATAATCCCCAAAATCCTATGGGCCGCTTTAGCACCCTGTTGGTCCAGCAAACAGAACATTTTTAAAAGTAATGGGCACAGATGATTGGACAGCCATCAAACCATTGTCCCATTTTTAAAGCCGGTAAATCCACGGCATTCAATTTTCATCAGATTACACGTGCTGAGTACACAACCGGCAGCTGCTCCTACTAATCAAACATCGCGCTGCACCATGACTCAGAGTCGCACCTCTCCTACAGACGCCATGGGACTCGTCACAACATGCTCCGCCATCAACACGCCATACACTGAAACATATTACAGTGCAGCTATGGGACCTGTCTGTCTATCTGCAGCATAAGGTGACCTGGTGGAGGTTCTAAAGGGCACATGTCAAACCAGAAATGTCACATTACAATGGTAATCCAAAGAAAAACAACAAAAAAAAAAAAAAAAAAAAAAAAAAACAAACACAGTTGATGTTTCACCCCCTGGAGCACCACTGGTCCTGCTTTTATTTGTCTCACCCTCTATTACTGTCCCTTTAACAGCTTGGTCTGCATGTAAAGTGGAGTTATAGTCCCATCTACTTACCTCCCCTCCAGCGATGAGACCTCTGCAAGCTCCCTGCCTGGTTGTCTTTAAGGTTCAACATCTTCAGGCCATCTTGATTGGCTGGCTCTGGAAGGAGCAACTCCCATGCAGGGGCGGACTGACAACTCATGGGGCCCCCGGGCAATAGGGGATCATGGGGCCCATGTCCTTGCCCAAACTCAAAAAAGCATATGCAAAAAGGTACCAGGGGCATCTCATGGGGCCACCTACTGACTCCAGGCCCTTTGGCAGTGCCCGAGGTTCCAAATGGTCAGTCCGCCCCTGCTCCCATGCTTGCACACCAGAGCGGATTTATCCCTGCACCGGTACACCAAGGATGTACACTAGGCTTTGCATGCTTAGGTTCACGGACTCTTTTCTCCTCGGATTAAATGTTCTCTTCTGATCAAAATGTTCTAATCGGATGGCATGTTCTTAGGATATTTTCTGATCAAATATTCTAAAATGTATTTAGGGTATTTTCTCTTCATAATGTTCATGGGGTATTTTCTGATCATATGTTCTCTGGGTGTTTGCGGATCGAAGGTTCTCAGGGTACTCTCTCTCTCTCTATTCAGATCGAATGTTCATAGGGTATTTTCTGAGCATACGGTCTCTGGGTGTTCGTAGATCGAAGGTTCTTAGGGTACTCTCGCTCTTCAGATCAAATGTTCTTAGTGTTCTTAGGGTATTTTCTGATCATATGTTCTCTGGGTGTTCGCAAATCGAAGGTTCTTAGAGTACTCTCTTTCTTCAAATTGAATGTTTATAGGGTATGTTCTGAGCATACGTTCTCTGGCTGTTTGTAGATCGAAGGTTCTTAGGGTACTCTCTCTCTCTTCAGATCAAATGTCCTTAGTGTTCTTAGGATATTTTCTGCTCATATGTTCTCTGGGTGTTCGCGGATCGAAGGTTCTTTGGGTACTCTCTCTATTCAGATCGAATGTTCTTAGGGTATTTTCTGATCATATGTTCTCTGGGTGTTCGCAAATCGAAGGTTCTTAGGGTACTCTCTCTCTATTCAGATTGAATGTTCATAGGATATTTTCTGAAGAGAGAGTGAATGTACCCCAAGGACCTTCAATCTGCGAATACCGAAATTGGGTGTTCGCAGATCGAAGGTTCTTACTCTCTTCAGATCAAATGTTCTTAGTGTTCTTAGGGTATTTTCTGATCACATGTTCTCTGGGTGTTCGTGGATCGAAGGTTCTTAGGGTACTCTCTCTCTCTCTCTCTTAAGATCGAATGTTCTTAGGGTATTTTCTGATCATATGTTCTCTGGGTGTTCGCGGATCGAAGGTTCTTGGGGTTCTCTCTTCAGATCGAATGTTTTTACGCTTACTTTTAGGGTTGAAATGCTCTATGGCTATATTCATACTAGCCCGCACAGTAAAATGCAACATTCTACCGAGCAGGTAACTAAACTCTAGAAGGGAGCAGTGTGATGTGCATTCCATCGCATTACTTTTTTTTTTGCAACTTTATTTGAAAACGTCAAATAGTGACAATTCGTGACATCCACTACGGTGCAGAAATAGGCGGACATTCTGCATTTTTCTGTGCTGCATATCACAACAGTTTTGGGGCAAAAACAATTGTTTTTTATGTTCTCTAGTGATGACCTGTATTTAATAACCAGTGCAGAAAACCGCCAGTTGCAGCACAAAGCGTGACTGAGCCCTCGGGACATTTTCTCTTTGGATGGAATGTTCTTAGCATGTGCTGCCTCCAGGACTGCTTAGATCGATCAGAGGAATCCATACACCAGGACGCATTCTAATGACATTCGATTTGCCAGCATTGGAACAAACCGGCTTCCCTAAACGAATGTTATATTTGCCGTGAGAAAGAAAACTCGAAGATGAGAAAATAAAAAGGGCCCTTTCCTGAAAGTCTGATCCGCTGTGGTGCACTAAATATGTGCATGGTATATTGCGTTGTGTTCGAGAATCCCATGGATCACCCAATATTTATTTCAGGTACTTATATAACGCCGTCAATTTACGCAGCACTTTACATATATATTGTACATTCACATCAGTCCCTAACCCTCAAGGAGTGTACAATCTAAGGTCCCTAACTCACAGTCATACATACACATACTAGGGACAATTTAGACAGGAGCCAATTCAACTACCAGCATGTCTTTGGAGTGTGGGAGGAAACCGGAGTACTGGAGGAAACCCATTCAGGCACAGGGAGAACATGCAAACTCCAGGCAGGTGGTACCGTGGTTGGGATTCGAAACAACCCTAGTACTGCCAGGCGGAAGTGCTAACCATTTAGCCACTGTGCTACCCAATACACCTTGGTGAGCCAAAAAAACCCACATGCAGCATATACAGTATGGCATTGTACTGGATATTCTGAGGAGTTGAGTCACCGGGCACACTGCTGCGATTAAAACAAAAAAAATTTAAAAAATCACAATTTGTGTGCGATTTCAGTGTGATTTCTGAAAAGTTTAGTCACTGGTCACACTACTGCGATTTAAAATCACGCAATTTGTGTACGATTTCTGAAGATTTCAGTCACCAGTCACACCGCTGCGATTAAAAATCATATGATTTGTGTGCGATTTCAGCGCGATTTCTGAAGACTTTATTGCTACTTGTGAAAATTTTCAACGATTTTTTGCAATTTGCAGTGCGGTTTCCATTATATTCTACGTATGTGAAATCACAACCAAACTGCAGAAAAAGTCACGCAAGAACTACTTTAGAAATCGCACTGCAGCAAATCGCACGTTAAGACCCTGACCTTCGCATTCATTAGATGAGAATTCAGGTGCAATTTCAATTCCCAAATCGCAGCGGTGTGACCGGGCACTTATTGCTACGAAAATCTGAAGATTTTCAACGATGTCTTGCAATTTGCATTGCGATTTCCATTATATTCTATGTTTGTGAAATTGCATCAGAACTGCAGAAAAAGTCACACAAGAACTACTTTAGAAAATCACACTGCAGCAAATTGCACGTGTTAAGACACTGACCTTCGCATTCATTAGATGAGAATTCAGGTGCAATTTCAATTCCCAAATCGCAGCGGTGTGACCGGCACTTATTGCTACATATGAAGATTTTCAACGATGTCTTGCAATTTGCATTGCGATTTCCATTTTTGCATCAGAACTGCAGAAAAAGTCACACAAGAACTACTTTAGAAAATCAGTCATGCAGCAAATTGCACGTGTTAAGACACTGACCCTTGATATTTCTCCAGGAAATTCAGGTGCAATTTCAATTAAATTCAGCGGTCACGAAACGTATTGAAGATTTTCAACGATGTTTTTTGCATTGCGATTTCACATGTTTATTCCCTTTGTGTGTATTTAGGACAAAACACAAAAAAAAAGGAGGAAAGAAAGCAAATTTATTCGACATAATGTCACACAAACCTCCATTATATTCTACAAAATGGCCGAAATTGTGGGCACCCTTGATATTTCTGGACAAAAACACATATTGCTATACACCCTTTGTGTGTATTGGGACAAAACAAAAAAGGGAGGAAAGAAAGCAAATTCGACATAATGTCACACAAACCTCCACAAATGGGCTGGACAAAAGTATTGGCACCCTTTCACAACTGCGGACAATAAGAATGTCATGTGATGCTCCTGTAAAAGCATGTGATGCTCACCTGGGGCAAGTAACAGGTGTGGGCAATATAGAAATCACACCTGAAAGCAGATAAAAAGGAGAGACGTTCACTTAACCTTTGCATTGTGTGTCTGTCTGTGCCACACTAAGCATGGACAACAGAAAGAGGAGACGAGAACTGTCTGAGGACCTGAGAACCAAAATTGTGGCAAAATATCAACAATCTCAAGGTTACAAGTCCATCTCCAGAGAACTAGATTTGCCTTTGTCCACAGTGCGCAACATTATCAAGAAGTTTGCAACCCATGGCACTGTAGCTAATCTCCCTGGTCGTGGACGGATGAGGAAAATTGATGAAAGATTGCAACGCAGAATAGTCCGGATGGTGGATAAGCAGCCCCAAACATGTTCCAAAGACATTCAAGCTGTCCTGCAGGCTCAGGGAGCATCAGTGTCAGCGCGAACTATCCGTCGACATTTAAATGAAATGAAACGCTATGGCAGGAGACCCAGGAGGACCCCACTGCTGACACAGAGACATAAAAAAGCAAGACTACAGTTTGCCAAAATGTACTTGAGTAAGCCAAAAGCCTTCTGGGAAAACGTCTTGTGGACAGATGAGACCAAGATAGAGCTTTTCGGTAAAGCACATCATTCTACTGTTTACCGAAAACGGAATGAGGCCTACAAAGAACAAAACACAGTACCTACGGTAAAATATGGTGGAGGTTCAATGATGTTTTGGGGTTGTTTTGCTGCCTCTGGCACTGGGTGCCTTGACTGTGTGCAAGGCATCATGAAATCTGAGGATTACCAAAGGATTTTGGGTCGCACTGTAGGGCCCAGTGTCAGAAAGCTGGGTTTGCGTCCAAGATCCTGGGTCTTCCAGCAGGACAATGACCCCAAACATACGTCAAAAAGCACTCAGAAATGGATGGCAAAGAAGCGCTGGAGAGTTCTGAAGTGGCCAGCAATGAGCCCAGATCTAAATCCCATTGAACACCTGTGGAGAGATCTTAAAATTGCTGTTGGGAAAAGGTGTCCTTCCAATAAGAGAGACCTGGAGCTGTTTGCAAAGGAAGAGTGGTCCAAAATTCCGGGTGAGAGGTGTCAGAAGCTTATTGATGGTTATAGGAAGCGACTGATTTCAGTTATGTTTTCCAAAGGGTGTGCAACCAAATATTAAGTTAAGGGTGCCAATACTTTTGTCCAGCCCATTTTTGGGGTTTTGTGTGACATTATGTCATATTTGCTTTTCTGCCTCTGTTTTATATTTGTTCCAATACATACAAAGGGAATAAACATGTGTATAGCAAAACATGTGTTAATGCAATACCTTTTTTGTGTGAAATACTTGATTTTCAGGAAAAATATCAAGGGTGCCAACAATTTCGGCCATGACTGTATGTGAAATCGCAAAAAAAAAAAAACTGCAGAAAAAGTCATACAAGAACTACGTTCGAAATCGCTCTGCAGCAAATCGCACGTGCTAAAACACTGACATTCACTAGATGAGATTTCAATTCCCAAATCGCAGCGGTGTGACCGGGCACTTATTGCTACATCTGAAGATTTTCAACGATGTCTTGCAATTTGCAGAGCGATTTCCATTATATTCTATGTTTGTGAAATTGCAACAAAACTGCAGAAAAAGTCACGCAAGAACTACTTTAGAAATCGCGCTGCAGCAAACGCACGTGTTAAGACGCCAACATTCACATTCATTAGATGAGAGATTTCAGGTGCTATTTCAGTTCCCAAATCGCACCGGTGTGACCGGCCACTTATTACTACATGTGCAGATTTTCAGCAATGTTTTGCAATTTGCAGTGCGATTTCCATAATAAGTACATAAAAAAGTGCTCCTGCGTTTATGGATATGTTGCAGTTTAGCAAATCAAACTACTGCAGCAGTCCTGTATTTGTGTTAAATTATCACCAAAAAATCGAATAGAAAACCAGATAGACCGCGCACGTCCTGAACCTGTGTGTGTGATCACCATCTCATACACCAGTCCCATGTTAGTGAAACAAGTGCATGTGTGTGTATTCGGCTTGTAATCAATATCCTGGTGAATGGATCATTTCCCAAAAAAAGCGCTCCACTGTGCTCAACAAAGGTGCCCCACATGGACCGCACTCCCCCTCATCCAATGACCATCTATCATTCACGCTTGCAGGCAGGGGCGGACTGACCATTTGGAAACTCGGGCACTGCCCGAGGGCCCGGGGTCAGTAGGGGGCCCCATGAGATGCCCCTGGTACCTTTTTTCGTAGGCTTTTTTGGGTTTGGGCAAGGACACAGGGGCCCCATGATCCCCTATTGCCCGGGGGCCCCATGAGTTGTCAGTCTGCCCCTGCTTGCGGGACTATCCCAGTAAGCCGCTGGTCTCCAGATCTTTCATTGTAATGGTCTATCCTTGGAGTGGTCTGCCCACTTATTGCTACTTTTGAAGATTTTCAATGATTTTTGGCAATTTGCAGTGCAATTTTCATTATATTCTATGTATGTGAAATCGCAACAAAACTGCAGAAAAAGTAATGCAAGAACTACTTTAACAAATCACACTGCAGCAAATCGCACGTTAAGACACTGGCATTCACTAGATGAGATTTCCGGTGCGATTTTCAATTTGCAAATATTTGTTACATTTTATAAAAGAACAGAAATCCGATCCGTCCAATAAAAGGATACAAAGAACAGCAGCACCTGGTGATGTTTCATGGCCCCAATGAGTCCGACCAGAGCGATCAGGAACAGGAGGATTCCCACGGCCACCGCCACACCGACCACCCGCAGGCTGGAGATGAGGCCGAAGCCAATCCCCCACGCCGCCACACCGATCAGCAGGAGGCTGACCATCTACAGGAGAGAGAAAACAGAGAGGTCAGGGGGGGACATCAAACAACATTCATGGTGGGTGTACATCATATACAAGGGGGGAATATCCCAAGAGAGAATAAAAAAGGAGCTGGGGGGGGAGACAGTGAGGAAGAGAGAATGAAGGGAAGAGGAGAGAGAAGAGGGGAGAGGGAAGGGGGGGGGGAAGAGGAGAGAGAAGAGGGAGAGGGAAGGGAGGGGGAGAGGGAAGGGGGGGGGGGGAGAGGGGAAGGGGGGGGGGAGAGGGAAGAGGAGAGGAAGAAGAGGGGGGGGGGGGGGAGAGGGAAGAGGAGAGAGAAGAGGGGGGGGGGGAGAGGGAAGAGGAAAGAAAGGGGGGGGGGGGGGAGAGTGGAAGAGAAAGGGGGGGGGGGGAGGGAAAGAAAAAGGTGGGGGGGGGGAGGAGAGAAAAAGGGGGGGGGGAGGAGGAGAGAAAAGGGGGGGGGAGAGGAGAGAAAAAGGGGGGGGGGAGGAGAGAAAAAGGGGGGGGGGAGAGGAGAGAAAAAGGGGGGGGGAGAGGAGAGAAAAAGGGGGGGGGAGAGGAGAAAAAGGGGGGGGGAGAGGAGAGAAAAGGGGGGGGGAGAGGAGAGAAAAGGGGGGGGGGAGAGGAGAGAAAAGGGGGGGGGGGAGAGGAGAGAAAAGGGGGGGGGGAGAGGAGAGAAAAGGGGGGGAGAGAGGAGAGAAAAGGGGGGGGGAGAGGAGAGAGAAAAGGGGGGGGAGAGGAGAGAAAAGGGGGGGGGAGAGGAGAGAAAAGGGGGGGGGGAGAGGAGAGAAAAGGGGGGGGGGGGGAAGAGGAGAGAAAAGGGGGGGGGGGGGAAAGGAGAAAAGGGGGGGGGGGAAGGGGGAGGAGAGAAGGAAAAAGGGGGAGAAAAAAGGGGGGGGGGGGGAAAAAGGGGGGGGGGGGGGGGAGAAAGGGGGGGGGGAGGAAAAAAGGGGGGGAAAGGGGGGAGAAAAAAGGGGGGGGAAAGGGGGGGGGGGAGAAAAAAAAGGGGGGGGGGGGGAAGGGGGGGGAAAAGGGGGGGGGGAAGGGGGGGGGAAGGGGGGGGGGGGAAGAGAGAAAAGGGGGGGGGGGGAGAAGAGAGGGGAGAAAAGGGGGGGGGAGAAAAGGGGGGGGGAGAGGAAGGGGGGGAGAGAAGGGGGGGGAGAGGAGAGAAGGGGGGGAGAGGAAGGGGGGGGGGGGGGGGGGAGGGAAGGGGGGGGAGAGGAAGGGGGGAGGAGAGAGGAAGGGGGGAGGAGAGAGGAAGGGGGGAGGAGAGAAAGGAGGGGTGAGAGAAAGTGAGGCTGGAGCAGCTGAGCATGCTGGGCCATTACTGGGGGCTCCGGCTCCATACAGCACAATGGTGGTAGCACAAGGCGAGGGCTGAACCTGTACAAATAGGAGAGTGACGCCGCGTTGGCCATGTCACCCCAGATGACGTCACAGAGGAGGCGGAGTCGCCGCTGGGATCTCGGCTATTATAAATCCCAGGAAGCGGTACATCTGCACAGTACACAACATGCTGCACTTTAAATGCAAAACATTCCTGAAGTATTCGGTCCACGTTGTGCCATTACTGAAATGCGATGAATCTGGGTAAAGTGGTTGTAAGCCTCAGAAATGAAATATGAACAAAGCATATCCCTCTATAGTGTGTACTTGTCTCAATCCAGAGCACCAAGTGCCACTTCTCTCTGCTGCTTCACTAGTCTGCCATCAGCATGAATCACTTCTGACAAGTTTTCCTGACACCAAGAGAAAAATGGTGACGGGGAGGGAGCTCCAGCACACAGCCTGTGATTGACAACCTCAACTCGGATTCTGTGTGAAAAGGGGGGGGGGGGGGGGGGTGTACCTTCTCTTGAATCAGCTCTCGCCAAGCTCCGCAGAGTAACTTCAGCTCTCTACCCCTTGCTTTCTGAAAGCTCAGACAATCTGTAGAAATTCTGCACTTTAAGTGGAAGTAGAGAAGGCCAAAGATAAACAGGTACAACTTATGTAAGAGGATTTGTTTCTTTTCTGTGTATCACCTGAGGCCAGTCACTTCACTGGGGATATGTAAAGGTTTACCACTTTAAAGGTGGCCTCCAGCCCTCTTTTCAGTCTTGCACATTTGTATATGTAAAATATAGTCTGCCTACGAACGCCCACTCCTCCACACTGACATCCAGCCATCAAAGCATTCTGATATTTGCATAACTCCAGCCCACTGCTTGCATCAGCACTTAGGGCTCTTTAGAGGAGTACTGAGGCAGTAGCAATGATCCCACTAGCCATGATCTGCCTGCATTGCATAGAGAAGTACAGAGACCCAGTAATTACATCACTGGGACTAAAATGAGACATAATGAAAATAGAAAGGTTTTACTTAAAAATTTAATTAGCCTGTGAATGTGGGAGGAGCCAAGGAAGACAAAATCTAGGCAGATCAAACCTCAGCTTTAACACTGTCCTCTGGTCTATACATATTTTCTAACCACATAAGACATAAAATACAATGTGGTGCCCCCCCATGGATCCTTTGAGTGCTCCGTCAGCCATGTAAGACCGATCCTTTCATCTTTAGAATTGCGTTCTTTTAGAAACCTATCATTTACAGACACAACACACAAAGCTTCTCTATGTTCCTTGATAAATCTCAGTGCAGCTGAGTGCACACAGCGAACACACATAAGAGGAAATCGATGAGAACTGGGGGCTTCCTTCCTGATCCAGAGAGTGGCGGTGACAAGGGGACACCGTGGGACGAGGGGAGAGGACACCGTGGGACGAGGACACCGTGGGACGAGGACACCGTGGGACGAGGACACCGTGGGACGAGGACACCGTGGGACGAGGACACCGTGGGACGAGGACACCGTGGGAGGAGGGGAGAGGACCCTGTGGGACGAGGACACCGTGGGACGTGGGGGACGAGGACACCGTGGGGACGAGGACACCGTGGGACGAGGACACCGTGGGGACGACGAGGACACCGTGGGGACGAGGACACCGTGGGACGAGGACACCGTGGGGACGAGGACACCGTGGGGACGAGGACACCGTGGGGACGAAGACACCGTGGGGACGAAGACACCGTGGGGACGAAGACACCGTGGGGACGAGGGGAGAGGACACCGTGGGGACGAGGGGGGACGAGGACACCGTGGGGACGAGGACACCGTGGGACGAGGACACCGTGGGGAGAGGACACCGTGGGGACAAAGGTGGGGAGAGGACACCGTGGGACAAAGGGGGAGAGGACACCGTGGGGACAAGGACACCGTGGGACAAAGAGAGGGACCGTGGGGCCGTGGGAAGGACACCGTGGGACAAGGGGAGAGGACACCGTGGGGACGAGGACACCGTGGACGAAGGGAGAGGACACGTGGGACAAGGACACCGTGGGACAAGGGGAGAGGACGCCGTGGGACAAAGGACAGAGAGGACACGTGGACAAAGGGGAGAGGACACCGTGGGACAAGGACACCGTGGGACAAGGACACCGTGGGACAAGGACACCGTGGGACAAGGGGACACGCGTGGGACAAGGACACCGTGGACGAGGGGACAAGAGGACGCCGTGGGACAAGGACACCGTGCGACGAGGGGAGAGGACGCCGTGGGACAAGGACACCGTGCGACGAGGGGAGAGGACGCCGTGGGACAAGGACACCGTGCGACGAGGGGAGAGGACGCCGTGGGACAAGGACACCGTGCGACGAGGGGAGAGGACGCCGTGGGACAAGGACACCGTGCGACGAGGGGAGAGGACAAGGACCGTGGGACAAGGACACCGTGCGACGAGGGGAGAGGACGCCGTGGGACAAGGACACCGTGCGACGAGGGGAGAGGATGCCGAGGGACAAGGGGACACCGTGCGAGCGAGAGGGGAGAGGAGCGACGCCGTGCAAAGAGGGGGAGAGGACGCCGTGCAAAGAGGGGGAGAGGACGCCGTGCAAAGAGGGGGAGAGGACGCCGTGCAAAGAGGGGGAGAGGACGCCGTGCAAAGAGGGGGAGAGGACGCCGTGCAAAGAGGGGAGAGGATATCCCTTCATACAGGAATTCCAAGCCTTCCTCTGCAGGGAATCCAGGCCGGGTTCTATCAAATGACCAGACTCTGGATATACTGAACCCTCTAGACCAGGGATCTCCAAACTACGGCCCGTGGGCCACATCCAGCCCATTACAAGATTTTATCTGACCTGCAGTTCAGAGTCAGTGGCAGATCCTCAATGTGCACAGATTGAGGATGAAGGTCAGAGGCTTCAACCACCAGCCCCCACGTAACAGGGGACTCTGATGGGGGACCCCGAGGCAAGGGGGGACACGCTGATGGGGGACCGATTGATTGCTCCTGTGGACAGGTGTCTTTTATACAGGTTACAAAATGAGATTAGCAGCACTGCCTTTAAGAGACTGCTTCTAATCTCAGCTTGTTACCTGTATGAAAGACACCTGGTAGCCAGAAATCCTGCTGAATGATAGGGGATCAAATACCTATTTCCCTCATGAACATGCAAATCAGTCATTTGTTAGACATGCATTTCTGCTGAATTTTATTTTGTTGCTATTCTGTCTCTCAGTGTTACAATACACCGAACATTCGATGTTTAGACTGATCATTTCTCTGTGAGTGGGCAAACATTCAAAATCATCAGGGGATCAAATACGCATTTCCTTCACTGTATTCTTTTATATTTGATTTCTTCTAATTCTATAATTTTCCATTATATATTATTCTGTATTTTCTTTTCTAATCCTATTTAGTTTTTTTTCATTATATTCTTTTCTATTCTCTTTTATTCTATGCTGATCCTCTATTATCTATTCTGTTTTATTATATTCTATCCCTTTCTAGTCTATTTTCCATTCTATATTTTTCTATTCTTTTCTATTTTTTCTTTTCAATTTTGTTCTATTCGCTTTTATTCTATTCCTTTTTCTTTTCTATTATATTCTATTCCTTTTTGATTCTATTATTTTCAATTTTATATTATTCTAGTTTGTTTTACTCTATTCTTTTTCTATTCAGTTTTGTTTTATTCTATTTTTTATTCTCTTTTATTCTATTTTCT